GAGAGAGAAACTCGAAGCCGGCGGCACGTGGTCGTTCGCGATCGAAAACACTTTCGGGTTATACGACGTACATATACATATATATATATATATATACATATATGTGAGTGTAGGTAAGTAAGTAAGCAAGCGAGCGAGCGAGCGAGCGAACGAACGAACGACTAAGAGTGCGATAGATAGATAGAGAGAGAAAGAGGGGGTTAAGGGAGAGGGAAATAACCCACGTTGTATATTTCGCGTCTTTCTCTCTCTCTAGATGCTCTGTGCTGCTTGTAATCGCGCGTCCGACTGAGCTCAGAACCGAGAACTCACCAAGTCCCCTGCTGGCCTTCTCGCCTAGTGTCGCTCTTCCTACTCGGCTGCCTTCGTCACCCTTCCCCCACCCCGATCGCGAACCATACCAACTTGCTTACTCGTTCCCTCCCGCACCCACCCAACCAACCCGCCAAAGCTCTCCCTTTACCTCCCTCTTACTCTCTCTCACTCATTCTTTCTCTCTCTCTCTCTCTCTCTCTTTCTCTCTGTCGTTCGAGAGAACCTCGCGAAACTCTTCGCCACGATCTTACTCTCTCTCTCCCCCCTCCCCCTCCTCACCCCATCCTCCCTCTCACCATCCTACTCTTTCTACTCTCTTCATCCAGTACACACCGACTACTATCTCTCCTTTCTCTCTCTTTCTCTCTCCCCTTCTCTCAACGATATCTCAGAGCTCTCTTTTCCTTTTCATATCTACATCCCCTCTCTCCCTTATATATATACATATATATATTATATATATATATATATATATCTTTCTCTCTCACTTCTTCCTCTTCTTCTTCTTCATATTATTATTATTATTATTATTATTATTATTTTTCTTTTTTCATTTTTTTCCTCTCGCGACGAATATGCACATACGTGTATTCGTGTATTTTTGACCTATGTGTATATATAATATATGTATATGTATATGTGTATATGTGTATGGGGTTCGTACAGCACAAAATTACGTTCGGGAAGACGTTTTTGGTTTGCGAGAGCCAGATGTTGTGCTCTTCCTCGACGCGAAATACTTTCATAATCGGTCGACGCAGCGCGTGCGTGCGTGCGTGCGTGCGTGCGTACGTGCGCGCGTGCGTGCTTGCGCTCATTCGTTCGTTCGTTTCTGCGTGCGAGCGCATGCGCACCAAGTGTCGCCTTACGACGCGCGCGGGACTCCGTACCGTTCGAATTTTTTCTCCCCCTCTTCCAACCCTTTTTCTTTTCTTCTTCTTCTTCTTCTTCTTCTTCCACCATGAGATATTTTATACACGTTCGAATCTTTCTTCACTGTGTTCGTTTTATCTCTAGCTTTTTTTTCCTTCTTTTTTCTTTTTTTAACTATGATATACAAAATATAATTTATGTCATACTTTTTTTTTTTTTAAACACGTCTAAAGAATATCCAAGTTTTTACGCAAATGGGCTACAATTATGAGATTAGATATAGACAAAAAGTATAATAATTACATTTTTGGTCACTGATGGCCCACGTGGCCCTATTAAAATAACGAGTGATGATCTATGCGTTAAAAATAAGTTACATTTGATCTAACTATCAATCATTATCTCTAACTCTTTCTCTCTCTTTTTTTTCTTTACTCTATCTTCTTACTTATGCGTAGAAATGATAGTAAAATTAGAGATGAATGAACTAGAAAACGTTTCATAAGAAATATATATATATATATGTTTGTAGTTGTGCCGATAGTCGTCATTCAATCATGGAAAACACAGTTAGACATTGATCGTCGATTATCTTTCTTCGGAAACTCGAGCGGCATCGTAAAAAGTGCCGAGTATCACGTTAGCTTGGTGCTCTCTGATGCTTACTGGCAATACATACACAACATACATACATGTATACATATATATACGGTTTGGTTGGTTATCTGTAGAACTGGTACTGTAGTCGTACTGTAGCTGTAGAGAAATGGTTGCTGGTGCTGGTGCTGGTGCTGCCGTGAGAAGAGTGGCCGATGAATGAGCAAAAAAAGAAGGGTATTGCTGGTGGTAGACCTTGGATAAGAGATCGGGCCAACCTACATCTAGGCTAGTAGGTCAAGTAGATGTTTAGCACGAGTATGAATCATGACAAGATATATCGAAATTGTCTAGTTTATGTCTCGTTAGAGGATACATTTAACATCTAACATAAGGACTGTTTGACCAATGATAACTTTCGATTCAAGAAATGATTAGAATTTGTTCTTATATACAGTGAAAGAAAAAAGGAGAGGTATATGTACACATGTATGTATATATGTGTGTATGTGCACGTATTTTTTTTTGAGAATATAAAAAGCATAAATGTACAGGAAATCAAAGTTGAACCGTTTAACTGAAGGAAGATCGAAATGTTTTTTTTTTTTTAAAGCATATGATCGAATGACTTTTCTCTCTTTTATTCAATAAGTTTTTTCTTGACAATAATCCAAAGATCGTTAAGAAGTAACCATTGAATTTCTATGATACTTTGAGATTATCATTTCCAAACGATTCTATCTACTCAAATGCAAAGATTTATGGGGTTCCAGTATACGACCAGTATTAATTCATAAATCTAAATGGTATTCATATTGCCATGAAACGTTTGGATTCGCAAATCCTAAGATTTATTAATGCTAGTGAAAAGTGCATGCCGTATACACACACACACACAAACATACATATGTACATGCACCTGTAATAGTTCACATAAATAAAAATGATAATAAATGTATAGAAATTCTGAACAAAAAAATATATCAATTACTTTGATAATAATAATTACATTTTTCTCTTTCTTTCTTTCTTTCTATTGTTTATGAAAAAATGAATACATTAAATAACAGACAATAAGAATCAATAAATATCCCAAAGTATAAGTCATGGATTGTGTTAGTAACGATAGGATCGTTAGGATTGGGCGTTCATCGTGGTATTAATAATTCAAATTAAGCCTTTTAACGTGGATTACAGGTAACGCAACGTCGAATGTTCGAACGGTCGAACGATCGAACCATCCGGCCGTCTCGTTGCGTTTGAGACCACGTTTTGTCCCCCTTTTCAGGGTCGATCGTTGTTACTAATATTCACTACGAGATACAAAATTTGTATAATAAATTTTCTGCAACGTTTTTAAAAAGTTCGTGCCAATTTTCATTAATAAAAAGAAAAATCTCAAAAGAACATTAAGATTAAAAGAAAAAAATAAATCAATAGGAACTCGATTTACTCATAAAATTCATATTTCAAGATTTAAAAAAATAATCTATAAGTTCAATGCACAAATTAAAAAGTACAAATCGGCAAAAACTTTCCAAGCAATCCACCTCCTCCTCCTCCAATAGCAGGAGAGTATCGGCTTGCACAGAAAGTTCGTACCGAATTGAATAAAAAATCTAAATCAAGAGAGAACGAACTTTCTATGCAACCCAACATACAAAACGTACTCGCTAAAATAAAAAAATAAAAAATAGAAATAATTTTGGGCTGGATGATAGTGCAGTGACGTCAGGTAGGAACATCAGCGAGTTGAGAAGGAGTCATGAAGAAGAAGAAGAAGAAGAAGTAGAAGAAGAAGAAGAAGAAGAAAAAGGAGGATGAGGAGGAGGAGGAGGAGGAGAAGGCCGTTGGTAGAGGAGAGAAGCTCCCCAGAGAAGGAGGGAAGAAGGGTAGGAGGAGGAGGAGGAGGAGAAGAAGAAGGAGGAGGCACACGGGTTCGCTTTTGCCTGAGTGTACCCGTTCGTTCACCCTAGCGGGGGCACCAACCTGGCTTTACTTCAGTTACACGCCGAGAGAGCCGGCGCTGTATATAGCTATATCATACATTCTCGCGTGTACTTACACCTAGTATAGGTGGGTATACTGAGTGTACAGAGAGTGTCCCGCTCGAGCATGATGCGGTTCCACGGCCCTTTGCCAGCGAGGCGGGTTACCGACTTGCCCCGTTCTCCAAAGAGAAAGATGAAGACGACGTTCAAGAGAGTGTAGAAGAAAGACAGAAAGAGATAGATAGTAAGAAAGAACAAGAGAAATAAATAGAAAGAGAAAGAGAAAGAGAAAGAAAGAGAGAGAGTAGGTCCCTTGGTTTCGATCGGGTAGAACGGAACGCGAGCTGCACTTCGCGAGAAGATCGATACCGGTACGAAGATGTATTCTTTCGTCGAGTATGTCAAACTAAACCACTAGAGTAGTCAAGTTCCAGTACTGATTATCCTATGTGTTCAATCGTACGAATGAAAGAGAAAAAGATAGAGAGAGAGAGAGAAAGTATATATATATATGAGATAAGGTTGTTATTTGATGTTAGGAAATGAACGTGTGTTCTTGTGTTATGATAGTAGTAGAATCATTATGATCATCATTCTTGTAATATACATGTAAATGAAATTTTGTTAATATATAATATGCATAATGTGTATGCATGATGTGTGTGCATGTGTACAGAAAATATATATACTGGTAACATTGTAACGATGAGACGTTTCTATCGGGACGGGTTCTTGACCTAACACGATTCACATATCCGAAATGCTGATCACTCGGAAACATAGACTAGCTTACTCGATATTTCTGAGGTCGTTGTTACCACGCGAATGAATTTACGCAGTTCTCCGCGGATTTCTTTCTTTTTTTATAATCCTTGCTAATGTACAAATTTACTTTCATATGAAGAAATAATACATATATATATATATATATTATTTTTATATTTTTAGGACAATATTGTATAGTTTAATAAAAATATAGTTATATATTAATTAATATATAACTCATATAGGTATATATATATATATTTATTCTTTATATATAAATTTAATAAAAATAAAATATAAACAAAATAGAGAAAATAATATTAATTTTAATTATGTACACCGTATATATAGATGTAGTTTTATTAACGGATATATTAAATACGTTCGTTCGATTAAAGATAAATAATAGTTGACTTTCCTTTTCTTTTAGTTCTTTGTTTCTTTCTTTCTTTTTGTTCATTTTTTTTTTTTTTTCGTTTTCTATTCCTATTACGTTAATTATTCTTCCTAGATAGAAATTAAACGGGACATAAGCTAAAAGAGCCGATCAGTCGCGTTAATCAGGAAATGCAATATCTTAATTAAGTATAACGAGGAGTATGCGCGTTGACACTGTTGACTACTCTTATGGACACAGGATCTGTCACTGTGTCCGTTGGACTAGATCTTTGAGGTTGATGAGGATAGCTCACTTCCATGTCTATTTCATCTAATTCTTCTTCTTCTTCTTCATGGGTGTCCGACTCTTCCTCCTCCTCCCCGTCACCCTCTTCCTCCTCCTCTTCTTCTTCTTCTTCCTCTGATCCTCTAAACTGCATGTACCATATAATTATCATGATTGTCAAGAAAAAAAGAAAAATAAATAAATAAATAAATAATAAAATACATATATTTGTTTGCGTGATCATTTTGCATTATAATGTAAATGATTAAATTTAAAAATCATTAATTTTTGTTTCATTCCTATCTTTTCCACTGTCGGTAAGTTGCCCCTATATGATGATAACTGTTCATATTTTTTGAATAACTGGTTATCTACTTACACATTATACAATACATAATTTTATACAACTTATAATATTATTAAAATTCGAAATAGTATAATAATAAAATCAATAATAAAATATTCAAATTACTAAAATAGATTCTTCCATTTTTTGTACAGTCAGTTAAATATGTCAAAACAAAACATATATAAATAACATTGCAAATCGTTGCAAATAAAACTTATGATCATTATGATTAGGAAATTATAAATATAGATATTATTATAAATATTAATATTTAACTAACATGTAGAAAACTAGAATGACAGTTTCTGGTTAATTCGGTATATGTTGTGTCAAAATAAAGTGAGGTTAACTTACATCACTGACAGTTTTCCCGATCGGTATATGATCGTATCCTTGAACCCGGACGTGTTCTCTCTGGAAAGAAAAAAATAGTTACTTCAGAATACAAAAATTATACAATCTAACAAATGAAATTAAATTATCTCAATTTACCCATGCTTGATGTTCTGCTTCTAAGGCAGCTACTTCAGATTCCTCGTCAATGGGACTGTCAGCATCAAACCACAAAGGATCCGTTGCTCTTGGTCTTAAACTTGGCCACAATGGTAAAATCGACATTACGAATTATTTTAATTTTAAACGAACAAAACTATAATAACGAAAAATAAATTTTATTCCGACAAATCGCACGATAAACAATGTCAACTAATCGATATATCGTTGTACACTCGTGGCGCCACCTTCATTTGCAAAAGAAAAGAAAACGGAAGAAAACTGTAATCTAGCGTTATCTAACGGTACTGTTAGTAACTAAAGGGTTATATATATATATATATATATATATATATATATATATACTTATTTCATATATTTACTACTGCAAAAATAAAATATAGCATAAGTGATTATTAAACAAAAGATATTTTCTATGAAATAAATTAATTTCAATTAAATGCATTAATATGAATAATAAATAATAATTAATAACAACGAACATTATTAATTAATAATAAACTTATTGCTTATCGTCGGTATATATATTTATATATATATATATATACCCCTTACTGTAAGTCGACAAACAAAATCCCATTCATAAAAATCGTACAACTATCTCCATCTAACGTCAGATTGAAATATCTACTATAACATTATGTCATGTGCATGCACCTGCAATTGAGTCACAGTGCACGTTCTCATTCCCTCTCTACTTCCTCTCTTTCTCACTCTCTCTCTCTGTCCTCTCTCTCTTTCCCTCTCTCCCTCTGTCCTCTCTCTCTCTGTGACTCGTTTTTCCTTCAGAATCAGAACGATGGCGACGAAGAATGGAGCAACGAACAGTTTGTTAGGGGATCTGCGAGTGCCTGTGCTAGGGCGTTAAAGCACGCTCTTCAACACGATTTCGCAGATCCGAGTTGGACACGAAGCCGAACAGTCGAACGAAGTGATTGTAACTTTTTCGCGTGTTTAAAGAAAATTCCGTTGCTATCTAAAAAACGAACGAAAGAAAATAACCTCTAATATTTTCTCGATCTCGATTAATTTGAAAGAAAAAGGGAGAAAGAAAAAATAAGAAAGAAAACGGTGAGTAACGAAAATAAAGAAACAAAACAAAAAATATACAATTTTTCTCTTTCTACATTCTGACCTCCACAAAAATCAATATAGATAAATAGATAGATTTTTATCTTTTTCTCTCTCTCTCTCTCTCTCTTTCTTTCTTTTTTTTACTCTTACTCTCATTATCTGTCTCTGTCTCTTTCTAATAGTCTAATAGTAAAGCTGAATTTATTTCGTAACAAAATACCTCGATGTTCTTATTCTCCTCTTTAACAAACGTTTTAGTCACGTAATACGACCTCAACGTTAATCTTTTTTCCAAAACAAAATTCTCATTTGATATGTGTTCTCATTTATAAAATCGTTATATATGGAGAATCGCGAGTTGTCGCATTTTCTCTGCATCCTCGTGCACGTGTGTTTATGTACGTACATACATGTGTACTTTTAGTATACATACGCATATACACAATATGTACATACATAAATACATTAAATATCATGATATATTGTGATCTAAAAAAGAAATAAATATCTTATGAATCTTTTATATTTATCATATATAAAAAAAAAAAAATAAAATAAAATAAATATTGCATCATCATTGCAATTTATTAATTAAAAAGTAAAAAAGATAACAAGATTGAAATGAATTAAATTAATAATAATTAACTTAGTGTACAGTAAAAACTTAATTGATTAAGATGTTATTTAAAATTTATTGCGTTTCGATATAACCGTATCCGTAAACAAGAAAGATAAAAAGAGAAAGAGAGAAAAAGAAAATTGAATTGAAAGGAGGTGAACGTATCGTAAAATCTTCGTTTCATTATTGTCTCCCCCCACCAGCCCTCCCTTCACTTCTATCCCCTCTTTTAAATAAGATATTTTTTTCTTACTCACACTCCTACTATATTGCATTTCTTAAAACTTACAAAGTTTCAATCTCCAAACGCGGTCACTTTCTACACCAACTAACAGTATAACGAAATCTAGATCTGAAATTCTTTACTTTCTTTTTATTTCATTTGGTAACCATTTCTTATGAACAACAACAACAACTAAAAAACGAACCGTTAAAAATATTCGTGAACCCCCACCTTTATATACTATATATACTCATATTAATTTATAACGATTTGCTATAGTTGAACCAATTGACGCCAATATTGTCCGTACCCTACGACCAGTAATTTGTATTTCCTAAGTGCACTGAGACCGTTCATCTTTTATGTATACATATATATATATATATATATATATATACCTATTGCATGTGTATAACATACATGTGTATAGTTGAATGTATGTTAAAACTACTTAATCGATACTCTTAAAACCTACTCTTGGATATTTTACATATAACTTTGTTTAAACAATAAAATACATTATATCTCTTTTCTATTCCAAAATTTCAAATAATTATAATATTTAATATCAAACAAATAAATTCATTTTTATATATGTATATGTACAAGATAAATATTTATTCTTATTCTATTAGTACCATCAGTTACGTAAAACTATTTGCTAATGATGAACTGCCTCTAACTCGTTAATCGATATTAATTTCTAATAAAAACGATTAATAATTTTTAATTAATCCATATATCTTAAATTTTTCTTCAAAAATTCTTATTACCAACTTTCTCTCTTTCTCTCTCTATCCTTTGTTGTTCTCATTCTCATACATATACTCACGAGGAAAGGAAGTATTGGAATTTCAATATTAGAGATTCCTGTTGCGTGACAAATTACGATCGAGTTTATTTGAAGGGCCTTGGTAAAGTTCTTTTCCTTCTTCCTTGTACTTTCCCCCTTCCTGTTTTATCTTGGCTCCTTTTTTGAGGTTACGTTTCCACGTTTAATGATTCTCCTCCTTCTTCTTCAATATTTTGGGAAGTTTCTTTCCTAAAAAATAATATAAATATTAATTGTTTGTTTTATACAAATGGTATTTGAATAAATGCATGCTCATTGAATATTCCTAAAAAATTATTTATAAACTTGACTTTGTGTTACGATTATCCTTTACCTAAAGTCAAAATACGTTTATGTTAATACTAATTGTTTTGCCATAATTATTGTATTTACATTAAGTACAGATAAATATGTATTATCTATTTGTTTGTTTGACACTGAAAAGTAGTTTATTTTAAATAGATATTTTTTATTTTTTGATATACTTAGGCATTATTTGCATAAAGACTACTTTTTCCTGTTTTCATTTTTGTTAAACCACCAAACGATTCATTTATCAATGATTTCGATCTTCCGTGGTTTCCGGGATGAAATTAATATTGGCTTAGATAAAATTCAAATCTATTCTAAATAAATATTTTATAATAATAATAATTATAATAATAATAATAATCCTTCATATATAAATATACAATTCATTATTGGATAATTTATAAATGTTTTATCATTAATATTATATTTAAATGTAATCATTTCTATTCATCTAACTAGAAAAGTCATTGAAATAATAAATTTAATATATTTATTATATAATTAAAATAAATGTAAAGAAACATGTTACTTATTAATTTAGCATTGATAAAAAAAAAAAATGAATATAACAGAAAAAATAAGTATTTCATAAATTGGACACCATTTTATAATGGCAATATTAAATATAAAATATTAGCATGTAAATTACTCCAATTAAATTATAATTACTGGTTTTATAATTAAAGTATCAAATAATGAATGATAAAGTATTTATATAAATTGTATCTTGGTAATTATCACAAGAAATATATTATATACTGTTATGGTTATCGTATCGAGGTATGTACACCTAATTATCACCGGTGACTTTTTTCGATTTTCCTTTTTAACTTTAATTAACGTTAAGAAAACGTTTATGGAACAATAGAACTTTTGTCGTCGCTTTATTTTAATCATTCATAACCTAAAAAGATTTATTTTCATTATTCCAATAGAAAAAAATGTAAGAATCTTTATGTATTATTACTATTAGATGATTGGTTCGTCATTAACGATTGAAATTGAAGCGGGAAATTTGAATGCATATTAGTATCAGACTGTTTGAATAATTTCTAACTCTTTTGTTCTTTTTCAATAAACAATTTATCGAACGTTTACACTTTGCAAAGGCTGATTACACTGATAATTATATTTGTAAACGTAAACGTGATCGTATATGAAACAATATATCTTATAACGTTTAATCAATGGATAAAACAGAATGAGAGAGAGAGAGAAAGAGAAAAAAAAAGATAAAACAAAAGTAGGCGTTATATCTTATACTTGGCATCGATTTAAAAAAAAAATCTCCATTTGTATTAACTTTTATTTTTTAAATAAAAGTGAGTTTGTTCGAAAAAAATATAAAAAAAAAATTGTTCATGTTAGACTAAACATTTTTCTATAAACTATATCGTTACTGTTAAAAGTTATCATTTTTGTTTAGACTAAAAATAATGTTCTTTTATGTTTAAAATATTTATCCACGTTTTGTAATAATTCATTTCGAATGATAATTTGTCGGAAATAAACTCACGCCACTTTTAGTTCCTTTTTTTTTTTTTTTTCATTAGAAACAATTTAACAAAAATGTTTATATTCAAAAAAGAAAAGAAAAACGTCAGAATAATTATGTCTTAAAAAAAATTACGTGTCTTTTAAAGTTATACATATTGATATGTATGTATGTATATAAATATTTGTCGTATCTTCTTTTAGATAACAATAAACTATTAAACAATGGTATCATTAACAAAAACGAAAAGAATTTCAAAACAGTTTACTTATTAACAATGTATCGTAAAATTGATAAAAACAAATAAAACAGATACACGTTTGCAATTTGAACTGAAATATTTTAATATAATTTAAATGAGATATTAATGGGATAGTCATTCACATTTAACTTTCACTCTGCATGTATATTATTTCTTTTTAATTATGCCACTTTTATTTATACTAAATTCCTTCGTTTCGAGTAGAAACATTTTACAAATTTACTAAAAGCTATTCAAAATATTATATTTCGTTTGACAAATCAGTTTTATTGTCTATCACTGTATCTCCTTCTTTCTTCTTTTCTCATTTTGTTTCTTTTTTTCTTACTCCGAGAAGATTAATTACGAAAAAACCATATCTTATATGCTGATAAAAGAGGTAATAATAAAAATATCAAAATGATAGAAAGACAAACAAATTGCAAACAAAACTTGTGCATTATCTACATTTAAAAAAACAAAATGATGATAAATTCAACTATAATTACATTGATTTAACGTGAATTTAACATAGTTGGTTCTTCAATGTTGCAATTACGTTTCGAGTAATACTTAAAGTAGTATTCTCTCTCTCTCTCTCTCTCTCTCTCTCTCTTTCCTTATATTCTTATTCCCTCTCCTTCTCCCTTTCTTTTTCTTTGCACCGTTCTCCCTCTCTCTCTCTCTCTTTTTCCTTATATTTTTGTCTTTCTCTTTCATTTTTACTATATATATGTATATCTCTTTCTCACTTTAGCATTAGAATGGAATGTTCGCTCTTACATCCGTGTAAAAAAGAAAAAGAAAAAGAAAAAGAAAAAATAATGAACACGACGTCGATCCTATCATCCGTAGATCTCCTTTAGAAAGTCTCCGCCAAGTTGGTTTTTTTTATCGTAGCATTTCGTTCTGCTTGCACGAACTCACGCGAGTCATGAACCGTTCTTTCTATCTTAAAACTCCGTTTATACGAATATAAATTTACAATCTAGTTGGCTATTTATCTGAGAAAGAAACAGATCTTTTCTTCCCTGTTTCTTTTTTTTTTCTTTTTCTGTTGCTGTTTTCCTTCTTTTTATAATTCTTACTTGTAAGTATTTATTTTTTATAAACGTTAGAAACAATTTTTTTGATAGTCTTTTAAGTGCCATTTATAATGAGAGAGTGGTTTAATCGAAGAATAATTTCAAAAAAGTGAAATAAATAATAATAATAATAATATAAATGAATGTTTCCTTTCTTTCTTTCTTTTTATAGATATTTGACGATTAAAGATGAATTCCTCGCACACAGCTCATATGTCCCATGGGAGTATGGATCATGGGAGTATGGATCATGGAAGTATGGATCAATCAAATATGCATCATGCCGATATGGATCATAGTGGTCACATGCAAAACTCAGCAGCTGGCTGCGATAATATGGGAATGCATGGTATGTCGGTACGTATTTATCATTAATCGTTAATGAGAAATATCAATTTTTTTCTTTGTTCATAAAGAAAATTGAATGTTTATGTTCAGATGGTTTTCCATGGTGGCTACTGCGAGACCATACTTTTTGAAACATGGAAAATAACATCGGTCGGTGGTTTAGTTGGTTCCATGATTGGTATAATGATTATGGCTACACTTTATGAAGGTTTAAAGTATTACCGGGAATATCTTTTCTGGAAAACTTATAGTTCCTTACAATATAGAAGCGTTACTGTACCTCAAGAGAAGAATGTTGTCGCTGAAGATAATAGAGTCGTACAGTGAGTTTCCAATTTCTATATACTTTTAATATATGAGTATAGATTAGTTATACGTTAAGTACGATATATAATACGTGAAATGAACGATATTTATTTAATTAGCTTTTATCCATTTTGCCCTTTTCTAGTATGGTCGGTGAGGTAATCCATAAACGGCCGTAAGTAAATATATTTTGACGGCCTGCTAAATTTTGATTTTTTATTTAGTTACAGTTTTTCATGTGATGTCTTTAGTGTACTGTAGCCAATAAATCTCATTACGATGGGCTCTCTTTCTCTCTCTCTCTCTCTCTCTCTCTCTCTCTCTCTCTCTCTCTATTTCTATCTCTTATCTTCTATTTAAATAGTAATACCTTACGTCTTGACAATAGTACCTTCTTCATTAACAATTTGTGCACGATCAGTGTCTTGATAAATGTTGTCAATTGTTGAAAAAAATCTGGACAATGTAATCGAATACTTATTCTCTTTTATAAATTGTTGTTATTTCCCATTGTTACTTCTGCAACATATTTCCAGCATGACTATTCTTCAATATAGAATTCATTTCTATTTCATCCTAAAAAAAAACCATTGAATATTTATTATTCAAATAAGTTATTCATATAAAACTTTGATTTTTGTTTATTCTTTTTGCAAGAGCTTCAATGGGTTTATATCGATGTATATTAATTCATTAATAAATGTTATAAATACTATTTTAAATGTATATATTTCACAGGCCCACAATGCTGTCATGGATGCATTGTTTCCAAACGTTCCTGCATATTATTCAAGTCATCCTTTCATACTTTTTAATGCTGATCTTCATGACATTCAACACCTGGCTCTGTATCGCCGTAGTTCTTGGTGCTACCATCGGTTACTTTCTTTTTGGATGGAAGAAATCTGTAATTGTGGATGTTACAGAACATTGTCATTAGTAATTAAATATAGTAGCATAAACCATTAATTCTATTGCTCCGTTATGTATATACTATTAGGTTGCATGTATGGCGATTCTTTTTACAAAAAAGAAAATATCCAAAGTTCATAACAAATAGAAGCGAAATAGAAGAAGACACGTACGATAACAATATAGTATGTTTGTGGTTCTATGCAAGAAAAAAAAATCTTTTATCAATACTGAGAGTAAATTGTTGATTCTCAACTAGAATATTTACACAGCTATAACTATTCCATAAATATATATATATATATAGAATCACAAATGAACTACGATTGTACAATTATCTTACTTAATTATATCCTATTGAATAGAGCTATGCACATATTCGCTGTTTATGCTGACGTGCAAATGGAACTTATTTGTAAAATAGAATTATAGAAATAATATATTTGTGATGATTAAAAATATGATAATTTTGCAGAAAGAAAATAAGGAGCTAGAATCTTAATCTTTTTATGTAAAATATATATTATGTATATAAATATTATATATATATATATAATATATATTGTTGTAAATATTATTAAAAACAAGAAAACATTTAAATAAGAAACTTATATGGATTGTATGGAAAATACTTTTTTCGATGCATGCATTTTTCCAACAATCATTTGACTATTTTTATTACTACTCTTTAATTGTTAAATTTTTGTTTAAGCGATAAACATGTAAAAAGACTATTACCATTTGTTACATTAATAATATTTTGAAAAGGGCATAAAGTATTGTATCGATGAGAACGCATGTATAAAACACAACCGTTTTAATGCAATTTTGTGAAGATTATTAAAAAGTTATTACTTTAAATTAATTAATTAATTAAATAATAATCTAATTTTTTAAGTGTACGAAGTGTATGAAGAAAATTTACTATATAAAAAAAAAAAATATTACAATAAAAGACATCTATTTCATATAATTTTTCAATTAAATTAAACATTCATTATAACTGTTTATTCTAAATTTTGCTTTTTATTTTTTTATTTTATTTGTCTAAAAAATAATTCTTTTTGTTATTCTATCACGATGGTAAGTAATATATAGTTTTTGTAATATGGATTTATGTGGATGACGATTAAAATTAATATTTCATATTTTATTATAAATTTATACGTTTCACATAGAGCTATACAAAAAGCACCAGCATGCATTTCGTGTACACGATTGTTGTTGATCTTATATTTTTGTTACTTAAGAACAATTTGTCGTATAATATATTCGTGTACTTTTCTGCAATAGCGCATAACACATTTCTAAAGCTTTAAAGTAGAATTCTATTGCTTTAAGAACTTATCAGATATGTACACACTCATCCAAAAAGCTTTCTTTTTACCTCGCACATTATCATTATCATTATTATTATTATTATTATTATTATTATTTTCATAGGAAAATTGTCAAACAGTTAGCGCAAAATATTCTGTACTTCTCATACAAATGTTAATTTTATATGTATACATATACATATAAATGTAAACATTATGATATATCTGAGGTTTCTTCAAACAAACGGTGTCAGTATATTATTTGTATGAAAATAAAAAAATAATAGACACTGATGTATGATAGTGAACCTCTTTCACGTGATTATGAATGTACATTCTAAAAACACTGAGAAATACTTGACTCTTCTGCCAAGAAATGTGCATCGATATTATTGTACAACAATTCAAATATTTCTATTGCACAAATCAAATACAAAATAAATATTTGCAACTTTTATATAAAGTTTCAAATGACTTATGTTTATTTAACATTTTGTTCTAATTTTCGTAGATAAAATAAGCTGTCACAGCTTAGCTGAAAAAATCTCAGACATTCTGTATATAATAGATTGATAATTTAAAGGAATATATCATAAATAGAAATATAGTTATCATACTGTTCTTAATTTTATACTGCAATGATAAGGCAAATTTACGTTACAAAGCTTAATTATAATCTTTTTATATGTTGTATGTCTGTCTTACGTAATAAAACAATTCATTATTATTATTATCGTTATTTTTATAATAATCATTAATTATTATTCTTATTGTTATTAGTATTATTTATTACTATATTTATCACAAGCTGATGATGTGTATAACACTTAAAATACTGTAGATAGCTTAAGATCTGTGTAAAGCACATTTTGAAATATTATTAATTGTTCTTTCTCTTTTGTTTCTTTTTTTTTTTCTTGTTCTCTTTCTCTTTCTTTTTCTTTTTCTTTTTCAATATTCTAGCAATACGTATCTTATACGTGAATTATTTTTTAATAATTTGTATGTAAGATACTCAATGATATACGGAGCACGTACTATAATAATAGCAAATTAAAACTAACAGTCCTGTTAATAAGATTTGTGCATAAACTTTAATAACATAAATATTTTTCTTAAGAGAATATCTAAAAAATTGTTATATATAACACACAAGAAACATTATACCGAAATATTTGATCATCGTGGATTTATTTCCAGCTTATTTGAAATATTGGCCTCGTAATTAACAACCGAGTATTGAAGGCTGGGCAAGATTCTCTTCAAATTATTTTGTTAGACCTAGAAGAAAAAGCACGAGAGGTATAAGGAATGTGTGTTTTAATAACGTATTAAATTTAATTTAAAAAAATAAAAAAATAATAATTTTTTCTTTTAAATGTATAATTACCTAGATAGATATAATTAAAAAGAATCTTTGTTTAATTATCGAATAAAGTGCTATAAAATGAATTTTGCTATTGTGGAAGAACATTAAGAAACTAAATAATAAATGGACTATGTCAATCGATGAAATCAAAGGAAAATAATAATCTATCTCTTACATTATTTGGTACAATGTCCTTATACATCCTAAATATAGTTTAAACACCATTTTAGGAATTAGTTCAATTTGAGACGCATTATGTTCCTTCCAATTGTAAAGAAACTCTAAAGTGTTCCTTCCAAAAATGTTGATTCGTATCATAAATATTTCTTATCATGTCTATATCTTCATAAGAACCCATTTCAGTTAGCTGGTCACAAATGTAGATCTTTGGAGGGAAAATGTTTCATGCATTATTTCATTGAAAAAACAAAAGAATAATTAACATTTTAATCTTTCACCTACTCAGCACTGGAAACAGGCATACAGCAACTGGAACGTTGTGGAGACAGTTGTTTGGAAAGGTCGACGGTATCTTCAACTATCGGATGTTCTAATTTAGCTTCCAGTCGTGCCCATGCAGCAACAGCTGCTGCAAAAGCTGCTTCTACATTAGTTGCATCCTTCGCAGACGTTTCTACCAGTGGTGGATCCCCATTTTCTGCACACCATGCTTTAGCTTCTTCTGTAGTTACTTGTTTCTCCGATTCCAAAACATCCACCTGACAAAAACAACATTTTTGATTAGACAAATGATCCTTTTGTTTCTTTGATGCAATACAAACCTTATTTCCCACAACTATAAATGGAAATGTAGATGCTTCTTCGACATCCGCATAATAAAGAAACTCTGATCTCCACAGAGCTAAATTCTTAAAACTTGTTTTATCATCAACAGCATAAGTTAAAAGACAAATATCAGAACCTCTATAAAACGGAGTTCTCAAAGTCTTGAATCTTTCTTGTCCTGCTGTATCCCATATTTGTAAAGTATAAGATTCGCCATTGATTTCTATATCCTTGTTTAAAAATTCTACACCGATGGTATAAAAATTGTGTTCGTCAAAATGATTGGAAACAAATCTGTTCATAAGACAAGACTTTCCAACTCCACCGTCACCCAAAATCACTACTTTCAAAAGTGTTGATCTTGTTGAATTACGGTTGTGTATGTTCCCACTTCTAAGCGTATCCACTGTCATTGCATTGTTTCCAGACATTTTACAAATATATTTCAATCTTTTTCTTATCTTTAAATCAGCTTATACGAAGTTGATACAAATTGGTCAAAATTTTCAGTGTCTTCTTTTCAGATCAAAAAGAAATGATTTCTAGATATATATATTGTTGTATATATATATATATCTTAGATAAACCAAATTAGTTAATTCGAACATCCAGGTACACGATAATTTAAAATAGTAATTATCTTATTTCTAACAGATAATATTATTAATAATTCGGCATGTTGTTCTTTCGTTATTCATTTAAAAGCGAATAAATAGCATAGTAACACGCACGCATATACACATACGCATACACATAAAATTTTTCACTTGACGACAAGCATAACCTTCTTTTCGATGCTTTCAATAATCGATATATAGTAATTATTTGATATATCTTTCTTCAATGCGTATAGATTTATGAAGTTTCAATAATATGATGATTTATTTAATAATAATTCATAGTTCAATCACAGAATTTTTTGATATATATAAACCAGCTTGAATCCTTTTTGTGTATGTGTATATTGTATTGCGAATATTAATTATTATACATAAGAAATGTATATTTGTCGTTTCTCGTAGATAGAAATAACTAAATCACAAAAACTCATTAAACAACGTACGTTAATTCAGATCTTTGTTTCAAAACTTTTGTACCGATAATAAATTATTTTTACATACTATTCACTAGTCCCGTCCATCTTTAAATAACGCAAAGCATTTGACACTTTGCAGACGACAAAAAGGAACGCCCATGTTGGATTCTCTATGACTAAATCCAATATGGCCGCCTCAGAATTATAAATACTGTTTTTTACCGGTAACTATAGAACTTACAGAAGGACGAATTATTACGAAATTTAAATCTAAGCTATGAGAAACTAAATCTAAGTGATACAAAATTAATTTATTATAATGAACAATCTTTCTTTCTTTTCTTTTCCTTTTTTTTTACTTTTCGTTTCTTTCTCGTGCAAATCTGTAATATATATCGTGCTGCTTGTAACCTAACAAATAATTATTACTATTATGAACGCTAATATTATAAACTATAAAAACTATGAAAAAATTAGGTCTCTTCTCTATGAGCATTTATATAAAAATGAATTGAGCGGGCTATTTAAATTTTACATTAGCGTACATGTGCGTTTGACGTCAATGCGCAGGCGCACCGTGTTTACACATATGTCTTATGAATTTTTATATTTATTGTAAGATTGTAAGAATAGGTTGGTATCATTGTTCATACTTTTTGGGTAGATATGTTTTACAATGTTATAAATATTTGAAATAATTGTTGTTCATGCCGAATTAACGCATATATTTTTTTAAAAGTGTTGTTTTTATATATTATATCGAATCCAGTGAAAAAATGATTAAATAGTTGGTGAACAAAAAATTGAACTATGCAAGTAATTCATTAATTATTTTGATATATTTTCTATATATTCAGTGATTTATATATATTTATATACACACACATCTACATAAAAGGTAAAAAAATATAAAATTATAAAAATAATATTGTATCCAAAGATAAAAACAAAAATATTTATATAAATATTTTTCATTTTGTATGCATAGTAAGATTACATAACCTAATTTGATACAAAGTTGTTTACATGCATAACCTTCTTTAATAACATTTCATATAAATAATGCAATTATATAATTTATTTTGATATAAAAATACACTACTATTTTAATTAAGTAATAGTAATTATATTTTTATATCATTGGTCTTGACTTTTATAAAAGATATTTTATAAATTTGTAGATAAATTTCATCCAAAAAAAATGGCAAATCTTCCACCAAATACCGGGCAACAATATTTTTGGAATTCTGGTGTAACACAAATGCAAAGTGCAGGATATTATCCTGTTATGCCATCAACTTTTCCTCCACCAAATTTTAGTCAACCACCACCGAATTTTCCACCAGCTAATTTTAATCAACCTCCACCGTCTTATAATATGCCAGTTCCTGCAGCAATACCAGATGACAAGTCAGCTAATCAATTTATGTCATTTCATAGCATTCCTCCAACGTATCAGGATAATACTGGTACCACGTATAATACAGATGATTCGTATTCAAATCAAACAACGATGCAATGTAATAAAAATTATTATCAGTCTTCTTCGTTCTCTCAATCAGAAAACTTTACTACAGAGAATTATAATTCCAACTGGAATTCAAGAAATGTATATCCTGATAATTTTAACAATGAATGGAATAGTAATAGCTCGTCAAGTTGGTCAACAATGCAAAATAATCCTACTACGTCTTGGTCTGAAGTTAATAGATTGCAAAAGGATAATCAAATGATTATGAAAAGTTCACAAAAGAATAAACCGTCCGAATGGAGATATAACAACATGGAATCATCTCGAAATCATACGAGTAGCAGAAAACGTTCTAAAAGTCCTGAAACTAGATCTAGATCTAGTAGATCGCCACGCAGATCAAGATATGATGATCAAAGAGATAAATATAAATATAAACGAGATAATAGATCGAGTTCAAGAGATTATTCGCATGATGATGGAGATTCGAAACGAAGGGGTTCGTACAGAAAATATGGCAGTCATGTATCGTCCTCTGAAAGATCTTATACGAGTAGTAGAAGCAGAAGAAGATCAAGATCTCCAGAGTATCGATCCTCAAAAACAATTAGTCCAAATAGTAGAAGTAGTTCGATGTTAAAATCAAAATGTCCAACTGAACGAGAGTTATTATTAGAAAAATATAGGTAAGTAAATAGTAATTAAATGTATACGTATGAGAAAGAACAAATTTATATATAAGTTTTTTTAAATAGGCGAAATTACTGCGCGACCAGCAAAGATATGGAAAGAAAAATGGATGAATTGTCGGCTATGGGTCCGGAAGGTATAATGGAAAATGAACGTAAAATTTGGACCCGTACTGCACCAGCTGACTTGTATTACACGAGAGATGAAATTAATCCAAAGATAATGAAGGGTACGCAGAAGTTGCGTGATTTATGTGTTTTGTTTAAAGATATCCTTATAGATAGAGCAGCTGCTGCACGTGCACTACAAGTATGTTAAATAAATTTGAATATGTTAAATAAATTATTATTAAATGTAGTCAAGATAACTTATACTATTATTTTTGAAGCCTCCATATGAGCCACCACCAAGGAAAACTAAAGCTCGTTTGTGCAAGCATAAATCAGAAGCTTGTAGCAGTTCATCATCAGACAGTGATAGCTCTATAGATGAGGATGACAGAACAATGGAAGAATTAATGACCAAGAAACAACATCCTCAAAGATTACATCCTGAAATGTGGTTTAATGATCCTGGAGAGGTAACGTTTAATGAATTTTATAAATGAAAATAAAAATAATAACTTTTTATCATTTGTATTATTTCTATTTATACGAAAAACTTTGTATTGTTATATAGATGAATGATGGACCATTGTGTAGATGCAGTGCCAAATCACGAAGATCTGGTATAAGACACGGAATTTATGCCGGCGAAGGTGCAATAAATAAATGCAATCTTAATTCAAATAATGCTGATAAGTTGTATCACTATAGAATAACAATCAGTCCTCCAACTAATTTTCTAACTAAAACGCCAACAATTATCAAGCATGACGAGCATGAATTTATATTTGAAGGATTTTCTATGTTATCACATTTTCCTCTTGTTAAATTGCCAACGTGCAAAGTAATAAGATTTAACATAGAATACACAATTCTTTATATAGATGAAAAGCTACCTGAAAACTTTACTATACAAGAGTTAGATTATTTTCGTAAGTATATTGAATAATAATATCTGTAATTATAAATATTTGTTTAATATTATTGCCATAATGTGTACATTTTTTATTTTATTTTAGAAACATATTTATTCAGAGAAATATTAGAGCTTGTAGATTTTGATTTACAAGCTGCCCAAGATAAATCTGGCTGTGGACAATTTCATTTTATGCCAAGATTTGTACGTGACTTAGCAGATAACGGACAAGAAATTTTATCCATGAATGAGGTTTTAAACTATTTAATAAAAAGTAGTACTCTTTTAATAGAACCAGAAGATCTACCTAGATTAATTGAAATGCCACAATATAAGTGGCAAAATTTTGCTGATGAAGTTAAAGGGATGGTTGTAACGTATCCTGGAAAGAAACCTTGTAGCGTTCGTGTTGATCAACTGGACAGAAATCAAGTCGATCAACCACCAGGAGTTATCGCTTATCCTGAAATTGTACATTTTGGGATAAGACCGCCACAGCTCAGTTATGCTGGAAATGCAGAGTAAGTTTATTTACTTGATGAATTATTTTTCTAATAATTTTATTAAAATCTCCTTTTATTATTCGTCTACTATTTATTTCCATTTTAGTTATCAAAAAGCATGGAGAGATTATGTCAAATTTCGTCATTTGTTAGTTAATATGCCCAAACCATCTTTCGAGGATAAAAGAAAACTCGAAGCAAAAGAGAATAAATTGCAAGAATTGAGAACGCAGAGTAAAATGAAACGTAACGTTACAGTCGATGTAAGCTCAGAAGGATTTTATAGAACAGGAATTATGTGTGACATAGTACAACACGCAATGTTAATACCTGTACTTGTATGTCACTTAAGATTTCATAAATCTTTGGATAATCTAGAACGTACATTGGGTTATGAATTTAACAATAGATACCTTCTTCAACTTGCATTAACGCATCCCAGTTATCGAGAAAACTTTGGCACAAATCCAGATCATGCTAGAAATTCATTAACCAATTGTGGAATAAGACAGCCAGAATATGGTGATCGTCGAATACATTACATGAATACACGTAAACGCGGTATAAATACGTTAATTAACATAATGTCAAGATTTGGAGCTAGACGAGAAACAGAATCTTCCATAGCTCATAACGAAAGATTAGAATTTCTTGGAGATGCAGTCGTCGAATTTCTCACATCCATTCATCTTTTCCACATGTTTCCTGATTTAGAGGAAGGTGGATTAGCTACGTACAGAGCAGCAATTGTACAGAATCAGCATCTTGCTGTTTTGGCAAAAAAACTTAATTTAGAAGAATATATGCTTTACGCGCATGGCAGCGATTTATGCCATGATTTAGAATTAAGACATGCTATGGCGAACTGTTTTGAAGCACTTATGGGTTCATTATTCCTTGATGGAGGAATAGAAGTAGCTGATAGAATCTTTGGTGAAACTCTCTTTAAGGATGAAGAAGATCTTGCCAAAATTTGGGTGAATTATCCTAAACATCCTTTACAGGAGCAAGAACCGACAGGTGATAGACAATGGATTCAAAGCTTTGAATTACTACAGGTATAATAAAGTAATAAATGTATATAAAATAATGATATTATTTACTAATTATTAATAAGAATTATTTATGTTATTAGAAACTAACAAAGTTTGAAGAATCCATTGGTATAGAATTCAGTCATATTCGTCTTTTAGCAAGAGCATTTACCGATCGTAGTATAGGATATACTAATTTGACTCTTGGTTCAAATCAACGTTTAGAATTTCTAGGAGATACAGTTCTTCAACTTATAGTTTCGGAATACTTGTATAAATTTTTTCCCGAACATCATGAAGGACATTTATCTGTAAGTATTTTATGCATTTATATCTATTTAAACTTATTCAACGATTCATTAATTATTTAAAAAAATTATTTTTAACAGCTACTAAGAAGTTCACTTGTAAATAACAAAACGCAAGCAGTTGTGTGTGATGATCTAGGAATGACGAAGTACGCTCTTTACGGAAATCCAAAAGCTGAGTTGAAAACTAAAGATAGAGCAGATTTATTAGAAGCTTTCTTAGGGGCCTTGTACGTTGACAAAGGTTTAGAATATTGTCATGTTTTCTGCGATGTCTGCTTTTTTCCACGATTACAAGATTTTATTATGAATCAAGATTGGAATGATCCCAAGAGTAAATTACAACAATGTTGTTTAACTTTAAGAACGATGGATGGTGGCGAGCCAGATATACCAGTATACAAGTAACTACGAATGAATATAAAGAATTTAAATTCTATTTCTCTATAATTTTTTTCTATTAATTATATTAAAATTCTTACAGAGTAATCGAATGCAAGGGACCAACAAATACAAGAGTTTATACAGTTGCTGTTTATTTCCAAGGAAAAAGATTAGCCAAAGCATCAGGACATAGTATTCAAGAAGCAGAAATGAATTCTGCCAAAGAAGCTCTTGAAAAAAGTCAAAATCTGTTTCCACAGTTAGATCATCAAAAGAGAGTAATAGCGAAAAGTATGAAGATGCAACAATGGCCAAATAAACACAAAATGAAAGATAAATTTACAAAATTTAGCGATAGATCAGACGATTCAGATTCCAGCCAACATCGTAAAAAAATTAAAACATAAGATCTGTGATATGTTAATTTATTTTGATCGAAAAAGAACATTTTATCGTTATAATTACGTTATTATAAAACATTAACAGAGAATCTACGAAATTCTTATCACTTTCTGAAATATTTTTTGTTTTTTAATCATGTTTATAATTAACAACTGATTATTAGTTGTTTATTGAAAATAAATATAAATATTCTAAGTTTATGGGGATCTTTGAATAAGAAAAGTAATTAAAAAATATGTGAATTATGATTTTCCGATAGAAGAAGTGTAGAAGCCTATTAAGTATTAAAAAATATAATCGATGATGTTTATTATATATAAAGAATTTTTTTTATATCAACATCATTCCACCACAACATTGATGCTACTCTCTGAAGTCAACACTGCATGGTATTGCAAAATGGTAATTGATCCATGTTCTAACTATGCTTATGTCGTTTAACTTTAGTGATCGAATGAAAACTAGTTTTTTCAATGAGGCAAAATTATTGACATAAATAGTTATATATACAGAATATATACACGTGTATTTATTTAAACAAAATTTATTCATTATTTTCTATCAAAGTGGGACTAGTTTGTTCTATCAAATAATCATTTTCTTTTAATATTTTTCTACATACTCTCATATTATCTAAAATAGAATACATATCCCACTTTTTAGATAACAGTGCATGTTGTAGATCAAATAATCCATATTTGAAACATTGTACTTGTGTACAAGTAGCTGTAGAACGAACTTCCATACCCAGATCATGAACTAACGTCTTTAAATATTGTTCGTACTCATTGATACAGACAATTTCTACAAATAATATATATGTATTTAAATCTTATTTGATTAACAAATTGCATGCAATATAAGAGTTTATTTAATTATTTTAATTTAATAATCTAATCTTACCAAGCGTAAATTCTGGTGGTTGGAAATCTATACATTTTATTTCATATAATACAGGAATACTAGAATCAGCTGGCCTAATCAAACCTTGTACTGCTAATTCATATGCTTCTTGACTTTGGATATCGACTCCACATAATCTGAAATATTCATTCAAATCATATATATTAACTATATTTTTCACACTTCACACTTTTCTTCACTTCACACACACACGATTTTAAAGATTTATCTAAATATACAAATGACTACTTACTCGAACATTTTTCTTTGATGAGAAGATTGCATCGAGGCACATATTCTATCAATGTGAAATCTTTGTACATGTTTGTATGTAGATTTTTCAACTATTTTACCGGTTTTAAATTGATTATCAGTTGCCTGTCCTAAGATACCTTTGAGTCTGTAAAACCGTGCTGGTTTAGAGGCTCTAATTTTGTGAATCAACGAATTACCTTTGTTGATACCGCATACTAAAACACCACAACTATCTGGCTTTAAAATATTAGCAACAGTAAGTGTAATATCTCTTTCTTGATAACGTGGTCCTACAATTAATGGATCGTCTCCATAATTAGGACGAACAGTAACACTCATAGTTTCATTTGTATTTCCTTCAATTACAACGTAATCAGTAGGCGGCCTAACAATCATTTCATTTAAGTCTATGCAAAAAAATATTATTATTCGTAAATAAATGAAATAATTAACGTTAGATTTTTAATTAATAATATATTTACCTTTACATATATTTTTTATTAGAGTTTCTCGTACACTTAAAAAATGTAATAATGCTGGTTTATATATAACAAATACACCATTCAATAAATTCCAACCTATGCTTGCTTTGCATGGTACAACAGAACTCATAGACATTATTTTAACTTGTAATATTAATTATGTTTTATTATAAATATCTTTATAATAATTAATATTAATTATTCTCGCGTAATAATAACCAAATTAAATGTTTATAAATTTCAGGTTATGATTGTTCAGTACCAAAATTGACCATCTGATGTCGCTACTTGTTTCGAAGTGACATCTAATAAGAAATATGATTTTGAAGGTTAGTAAGTGCATATTCCAGCTTTATGTTAACCGGCCTTTGCAATTAAGTATGTTAAAATTTTATTTAAAAAATAATAATTTTTAATTTATATATTAAAAAATACTTTAAACTTTGTTCTAAATGTTTTGACAAGATTTGAAAAGTTTAAACAAGTTTTTCTTTTTGATATACAGTAATAAATGCAATTCAAATAACTTGCATAACTCGTTTTTTTGTCTAGGTGTTCCTATTAATAGCCAATGGTTTTCCACGAAGATGTCTAAATATCTTAGTGAAGTGCCTGAAGTAGATATCGATGGAAAGGGAGTTTTTAAATATATGTTATTAAATATTCATGATAAAGCCACCGATGACTACAAACCAGTTGTTAGAGGTTATCTCAGTGCAGCATGGCATGGTAAGTCACTATTGTATTTGACAATTGCATATTCATCTATCAATATAATAAAATGTTAACGTCATAAATAATAATTAAATATTACAATAGTTTTGATAACGCTCATGGGGGATTTTATGTATCGTAGAATCATTCATGATTTTAGGTTAATTTATTTATTATTTACTTCCCTTATATTTCTGTTGACGTATACTTCTTATTTATTGCATGGATGAAAATAAAAACCATAGTTACACAACAAATTATACATTTGTATGATATTAATATTATTATTATTATTATTATTATTATTATTATTATATTATTATTATTATTATATGCGATATTTTAAATTTCTTATATATGTCTTACATATAATATTTACAATATTAAAAACATACTCTATACAGATTTATGAATTTATAATTTATGACAATTAATTAGAATAAAAGATTTTCTGTAATACTACTGGATTACATTTTTCTTTCTTTTTTTAATAACATTTTTTATACACATATATAAAACATGCTGATGCATTTGAAAATCTTATTTGTGAAAAGTCTACAAAATAATTTCTACGTACATCAGTTTTAAGAAAAATATGCTTGCGTAATTTTATATCTCTTTTGTTGATTTTTATTATTAATATTATTATTTATTTTCTTTAGTTTTAAGAAATAGTTTTGATGGAATGTCCATATTATTTTCTCTTTTTTGTTTTTTCTTTTTCTTGCAACAATAGTACCTTGAAAAAACATAGTAACTTTAAATTCCAACATATTTAGACTGGCAGTTGATATATTTAATTAGTTTTCAAAGATTTACATAATAATATGAATGTAATAAACATTTGGAAGTTCCATCAATAGATAAGTTTGATATATCATTCCATATTTCCTTTTACACGTATTTATATTCATCATTCTATTATTAAGAATAACTATTCTTTATATTTTTATTCAATTGACATATTTTTTGATCGCAGTAAATCTCAATCATTATTACCACGAAGCTTTTTCTATTTGAACGTAAGACTCTTCTGTTTCACCAAATATTTGCCAGCTTTGTATATATCAAATCGAAATACATATACATATATATATATGTTATTAGCGTAAGAAAGTTAAAATATTAAAGGAAGCTCCCAATTCTTCGTACTGCAAATTGATAATTTAAAATCAGTCGATAAAATGACGATGAATGAAGGAACCTTTCTCTGGAGCATGAAAATGTATTTTCAAAAAATATCTACTTTCTCGACACATTTCCAATATGACAATCATTCAACGCACACTTCACATATTTTCATTTCTATCAATAATCTTAAATGTTATTTCATATTCCAGTCGCACTAAGAGGCTCTTCTGAAACAGCACCATGCTCTTTGTATACTAAAACCTAACTTACAGTCTTTCTCATTAGAATTCTTCAATTGATAATTTTTAACATCGTTATTATCTTTCTGCGACTGTCGAGTAGACATCTCGTCAGTTTTAACCAGCTCTCAGGTACTGTCTTCCTCTTCACATTGTTCTATTAGATCAACATCGGTAATTCTTGATTGTTTATTTGTCTTCTCAATAGTCTTCAATATCGATTCCTTGTTTTTCGTTTGATTACAATCATACTTATCCGGATGTTCGTTAATATCCTCCATTTTTCTCAAAGGTTTAGAAAATTCTCTAATCGGTGATGGATATTCAACGATATCTGGATCAGTAGTGGTATCAGTTAAAGTGAATGGTAATTTTAAGGAAACATCACCTCCTATTGTTGATATTATCAGTTTCACCTGTAAGAATAATGTTAATGAAACAGTCAAAAATCTATCCCATTAATTTACATATAAATTTACATAAATAAAAACGAGAGATAATTTTTTCTTGTAAAATACCTTAACGTAATATGACACGTAAATAGCAAAAACATTCCTATCTTCTGGACCGTTTCCAGGACAAACGATCGTAGAAGCTAAGGTACCACCGATTCTACTATTACCATCTTCCAAAGCAATCCAATTCTTACTGGACCCTTTGATAGGTTTCAAGGTGTAAGATTTTTTCAAACTTGATCCTGGTCCTATAGGACAGCCCTCTTTAGAAGATATAAGAGCTACCACATTTTTAAATTTGCCATTGCTGAACATACACACATCGACATGTTGAACGACGAAAACCTAGAACACACACATAGAAAAAAAAAACAATTAAAAAACAAATGAAAGATAAAGATATAGTTAATAAAAAGTTTTCTTAGATGAAAGTGTTCTTTTGAAGTATATCAATCCATCAGAGTAATAATAGATTCAAAGATTTAATAAACATTTCGTGTATATACACGCATACATATATACAACAACGAAACGTGTTGTTCTATTAATTCGTACGGATATTCTCAGTAAATACAAATCTATATATAACTATAGGAATATTATTGAACAGTTATATACCTACGTTTCTATACATACATATAGAAATAGGAGGGAACATTTAACTAACCATTTACAGAGATATCAGTAGAATTAATACATCATATTTACTCTCTCTCCCTCTCTCTTTCTCTATCTCATTCTCTTAGTGGCTTCTACAAATAACAATAAATAGAATGTTGAATTTCCTATGACATGAATGCTACTATTCATTATCTCTTTCTCTCTCTATATATATATTAGTTTGAAATTTAATCAAATGAAGTATTTTCACATTTAACTGATTTAATACTTTTCCCCTGTCTCCTCCTCTTCCTCCTCCTCCTCCTCCTCCTATTTCTGTCTCTCTTTCTCCTTTTCTCATTAAATATCCTTAGAAATATGAATTTTCCTATAGCAGACAATACGTGATATATTAAATGAATAAATTAATCTATACATAAAGATTTACGTAAAAGATGGAGAAGAAAGAAGAAATAGAGAGAGAATTATACATATATATACTGTTACTATTAATATTTGTGTGTGTGTGTATATATATATATATACGTGAATGTATTTAAACTAGACTTTCATAATATTATTTTAAAAATTGATTTTTCTCATCAATAGATGAATGTAGTTTAAACTTTATTCTCTTTCTGCTATAGACAGCACCGGTTAAAGCAACAACAATAACAACAACAACAACAACACAATAACAATAATAATAATAATAATAATAAACTAGGATTGACCACGTTTCATAGTCACGTTTGTCCATGTCGATGCATTTTCTTTTTCAAACAAATGATACTACTATTGTTCTCGTTTAAATAGGAGAAGATGTATACCAGACGTTTGTTGATTTTCTAAATATTGGTATTATTTGTATATTTGTGTCATCTTTTGTTTATTGAAGAATCTATTGTTAAATTATTAAAAATTTTTTAGTCATATATATGGGATTCCTTTTTTTGTATTATTAAAATATGATTTAATATTTTGTTTCTTTTTTTTTTTTTTTCTTTAGATAATAACATAGATTTTGTTTTCTATCATATTAGTCTGGGTTTTGATCATGGATTTATTTTTTGCAAGTAATTGAGACGGAAGGGACGAACAGGTGATGTTTTCTCTTATTTTTCTTGTTTTTTTTCTTTTTTTTTCTTCTTTCTCTTTCCCTGTAGTAGAAAAGGTCGACCATAATAGTATCGGCCGTGAGGGACATATAAAAAGAATAGCGAAGGGTGTGGGTAGCCAAAAAATAGCACACTTAATCCCTACCATAAGTCTTACCAAAGTAACGAAAAAACTTTCGAGTAAAGTTTTTCCTTTTTTTTCTTTTTTTTTTTTTTCTTTTAACATCAAATTTCTCTTTTAAGATATATAATTTACAAAATTTGTCATCGTACAGGAATATTATTTTAATGCACGTGTGTTTTCAATGATTTTTATTGATTTTGTTTTAATTGATTTCAATTATTATAGTTTAAAATTTATAGAAGTATTTATTTCTTTTTTTTTTTTCTTTGAATTGAACAATTCAAATTTATTTTATTTTATTTTATTTTATTTTATTCGAAAAGTATATCCGAGTATATAATTAATTGTAATAGTAATTGAATAGTCTTTCGTTTGAAATTCCAAATGTCTTCTGATTTTTCTAAACAAGACTAATTGTAAGAGATAGAAGAGAAGTCATTACGATAAAGTGGATCTTAATGACATTTATTTGAAGAGAAGCAAGGTAATCGTAGTAACGATACTCGTTTAACCTTCTAATTATGCGATCTTCTATGTTAAGTTACGTTTAATTCGTTGTGCTTTGTTTTCTAGTTTCGACGAAATTAGATTTGGCTTTTAATGTTCTTCAGCGTAGTTTAGCGAGGTATTATATAAATGAGGTATTCACAAAATACGATTTGCCATGGCGTTTAAATCTATCCTTGCCTTTTAGCTTTGAATTAATATATGACGGAGAATGTAGTATAACATTTTCTTTCTAGAATATCATATTACTTTGTTTCTAATATTTGTCAAGATGAAGAGATTTTTTTTCTTTTTTAACGTTGTATCATATTCTATGATATATTTTATATACTTATGTATATTTTTATATTTATTTTATATTTTTATATATTTTATATTATTACTATATATATATATTTATATTAATTTTATATTATTACTACATATATATTTATATTATTTTTATATTTTATATTATTATATATATATATATATATTTTTGTATTTTATATTATT